CATTTAGAGGGGGGTGTAGGTGGTAGTGCCCAGTTTGATTTAATAGAAATAAGGCTAGGATCAGAAGACCTTAAGGGGCAGAAATTGAGTATGAATAGTGTGGTGAGGGGTTAGAGGTAAAACAAAGATCAAGAATGTTAGCAAATTGATCGTGGTCGATCAGAACGAGTGTAGGTGTGTTTGATGTAATAACCGCTAATGAGAACAACTTTTGTATTGAGCCCCCAGGATTCCGTCCTGATGTTGGAATTAGAATCATGACTGCTGATAGACTTCAATGAGGCATATAAGAAAGAAAAAATGACCTGACCTTGGCCTGTCCAATGCAAGTGCAAACATACAAGTCTAAATCATGAACTCTTATCGAGAAGAACTGAGAAATACAGGAAGACCTGGTAGTTGTAGAAAAGCTAGGTAAAGGACAAATTTTATGACAAGAGGTACTGGTCCGGCCAGAACCAGACAGTATGATGTAAATGTGGGCCAGAATTAGGCAAGGATACAGATACATCTTGGCAAGTTAGTGATGCTGGAACACCAGCATGTACACATTGATAAACCTTAAAGCATAGTCTTGAACACTATATTATTGAATGTGACATTGTCAAAGACTTCAGGCCTCCTGGGCTTATTATTGCATCATTTACAGTATGTGCTTAATTAATCATATTTTTAAGTGAAGTTATTGTAATTGTTGCTCACTTCTGTAGCTTCAGGTTGGGATTGCAGTGTATATGTGATGAGTAGCACTGTGTAGCAGACTGTGGAGTAAAGAGCAGAGGAGTGCAGTTGGAGGCTGTCACTTAAGGCAGAGTTGCAGCCGAAACAGTGCAGCGACGGCACTTATTGGAAAGAGGAATTGATGTAGATCTGTTGTGCATAGCCATTTGGTTTACTGTATTTGAAGTGAAGCAGACATCACAGGTGCGGTCAGAGAGTCGCAACATCTACGAAGTTAAGTCCGCTGTAGTTAGTAGAGGAGTTAGCCATTAAGTTTATATAAAGCTTATGGTAGTGATACAGGTTAATTCTCGCTAATCCTGGATATTTCTGCATCAGACAGGTTCCAAATTAGTAAATTCTGGAACCTGCTGAAGAGAGCTAAAAAAAAAAAAAAAGGCATAATAATGCATAAATTATAATGGCTTACCGGTGTACCAATACAACTTACATCAGCATAAATTCAGCCAAGGCTTACTGAACCTCTTATGACAAGGTGTTAGTGTTATGGCACAAGTTTACTGGAACACTGACCCATTTCATGTGCATATATGTACAAAAGTAAACTATGAATTTATTTTAAAATACTCTGGAAACATTCAATGTCATAATATCCTGACCATCAAGAAGTTATACAGACTCTCATGAAAAAAGTCATAATTTTGAATCAAGAATATTACTGTACCGACTTTGTACTCAAATGTACTAATGTTAACCAGCACCTTTATCTCTTGTGCAAACAATGGGCGGTCAGACTAAATTAATGGCTATCTTGCAAGAAATCCAGCAATGCAAGTTATATTCTCTAAGTCAGTGATATTTTATAAGACAAAAACCTTAAGCCTAAAAACTCCTTCATCCTCTAAAATCCTTATTCCCTACTACACAAAGGCGAGTGTGAGGTGTTGACAGCCAGGCGGGGAGACTGCTTATAATGAGTTATCAGTGGAGGCGGAGAGGTCAGGACTCGGATTATACAGCAGAGAGAGAGTTAAAATTCTTTTTTTGCTTAAAATGTCAACGATTTGATTCTGGATACAGAATATAACTTACTGCTGGAATTTCTAAGCATGATAGCGACACTGAGGAGCAAACATCCATAATTTGCATTAGAGTTAAAATTTTGTAGACCTTTAGCTTAGTACATTTGAGTACAGTATAATACAGTATGTTGTTCAAAATTTATAGCTTTTAGTAATTAACTTAGTACAGGGTGTGATAATTGTCCATAACTTTTATAGCATTACTGTTGGTTTTTAGTAGTTGTGAACATATCCTAATGTTCCCCAGAAGATAAAATTCACTAAATGCGCCCCCAACCATCGGTTGCCGGACTATCAGGTCCCAGAATAGCTGGGTCCAACCTGTATGTTGCTCAACATTGAAAGTGTAGTATTAGTAAGGTTTAAAATTATTTTGGCTTTGCCCGTTAAAATGAGAAAAATAAAGGGTATGTAATAAAGGGTAAAGTGAAAATGTTGAAATTATTATAGTTATTTAATGAGTAAAAATGCAAGCTACGAGGTTTGAAAGTGAAATTAAGTGGGTGGTTTGTTTATGACTTAATGAAAAGTTGGGTTTATATATATTGGTTTGTTCTTTGAATAACCGTCAGTAATGGAGTGTTCTAAGATGGTGGTACTGTAGAGCAGTGAAGTTTATCAGTGTTGCCAACAATAAGTAAATAATGTAAAAGAAACAAATTGCTGACTATGTGTATAAGTGTGTTACGTAGCTTACTCACAGAAGGGTTAATTAGAATGTTTGAAGAAAGTAAAAA